ATATATATATATATATATATGTACAGATCAAAGAAATTCGGAATAATTACTATAATATTACATGGAGATAGAAATGCATGGTATGTTCATATACCAGATATATATAAACTTATGTTCATACAAATAAGTTTTAATTTGGTTTGATTAATTTTTCTTTGTGATGAAACATTCAAACTGGTGTTTAAACCAATTGTTTGCCTTAGTATTATTGACTTTTCTTGGGAATCTGTGTGGTTGAATATCCAAACTAATATTCATATATCAGTAGTTTGATGTAATATTATCGCATTATTTAGAAAAGCTGTATGACATTAACAATGAATTTCATAATAGTATTTTCTCTTAAGGTAGTATTTACTTATTTTTGGAAGTTATGTGGTGTATTTATTTAAAAAATAATTTTCAACAATATTTTGTCTATGATTGTAACTTAGAAAGTATTATCAGAGGCTAAAATGATGTGTAATTGTTAAAATTCCTTAATTATAATATTATATTGTGTAGAATGAGCATACTTGGTTATATAAAACACCATTATTTTGCTGATATAACTAATTACTAATATCAATGTTTATTTGTAAATGATACAGAATATATTTACTTACATATACTTTTGTTAATTGTTCTTACTATATTCACTTAATATTTTGGTTAGCTCATATAATATATTGTTGACTGTTGTGAGCCAGAAAGAAGAAGAAGAGCATTTGTTTATGTAACAAATATCTGATTAGCACAACTGTTTTTGGATTACTACATTCATAAGATCTTTGGTTTGGTTAATACATGTGTCCAGGTTCATCACAAATTTAATTGACACATAGAATGTTGCCATTTACACTAATGCATTGGTTTGCAAATTTTAATGTCCATTAACATCTATCATAACTTATTTATATATTAAATCTTCTAATGGTTTGTATCTTTATGGAATTTCATAGATGACGAATATGGTGATTACAATCGTGTCCGCAGTTCTTCAGCTTGCATTCTTCTGTAGTGTGTGTGTACAAGAAAGTCTCTTAAACAATTATACTGGCTAGCTTGGAATAGTTTTTACCATCCATCCATATTTACTACTGTAGAAGGTATCCAACCATTTCCATAAACCATGGAATTGTTCAGTGTAGAAGAAATCATTTGAGTTGTGTTTTTTTACGTATATTGTCAAAATTCAGCAACGAGCTATTGGATCTGAAATTATTCTGTTACGTTTTTTTAATTATAAGAATAATTTTAATTTGTATTTATAACAAAGTAAATGAACTCAGAAAAAATTATTATTGTAACATATTGTAATTTTTTAAGTTTTATTTAATTACTTTCATGTTTACCATATACTTGTGGATTTGATGTTAGGTTTAAGTTTTCATTTAATTCAAATGCTAAAAAATAGAATAATGAGAGCTAAATTGCTGACTCAGCAAATCTTGTAGTTTGATTATACTTATAGGTTATGTGCTGTGCAATGTTCTATAGACTTATGATTGATAGCTTTTTTTGAAAGAAAACTACCATATTAAATTTGTTTTGTCTAATATAGAATCCCTAGTATTACATTAAATTTGCTTTTATTTCCATGCAATTCATCATTATCTTGAATTCGATGTGTTGGTACTAAAAACGACACTGTTAAGAGAGAATTCTAGAGCCAAATCTATCACGAGTAACCATTAGATTGGTGTTATTTAGTAGATTTTAATAATCAGAGCAACCTTGACTGAATGATTATTTTATTAGATAGATTCCTATGAAGAACTACACTGGCTTTAATAAACTATCTAACAGTGACATTTTACTTAAATCATAACCAACGCTGCAATGTAGAAGCTTCTTCTAATTAAAGTTGTGTGTTTGTATAATATACATGTAAATAGACTCTTATTGTTGATTTTCTTGCAAATGTACTTCTCGTATATGTACAAATACCACAGAAGAAAAAGAGCCTATAGAATGCTCGCATAAAGAAAGTTATCTGTACATATATTTTACATTTGTCTTTTCTTTTTAGTGTATTAAATTTTCCCCAGAAGGAAGAACAACAGTGTAGTTCTTCATAGGACTGAAATAATGTTCAGTTTATGCTAAATAAATACATACATACTAATCTGTGTGTGACATAGATATTGATCAGATGTATATGTTGTATCATTGATATATATGACATTTTGAGTGCCTTCGTTCAAAGGATGATTAGACACATCCTAAAAGTGCTCTTATATTTAGTTTTTAAGTATTAGTATACCGAGAAAAAAGTTGGACATATGATTCTCCTATGAATTTACCTGTTAGTTAAATAGAATGAAAAACAGAAATGCAACTATAAATGTTTATAAAGAATGGTTTATATAATGGTTACTTAGTTCTGTATAAAAATGTGATAAGAATTTTAGAAAATTATTGATGAGGCGGGTTAATAAATTATAATACTTTGAAAGAAGAAAGTACATGTACAGTACTGTTGTAATTTATATGACATGGAAGAAGGATGATTTTTGTTAACAATATAAAAATGTTAAGAGTCATAGATATTTAAGTTGTGAAAGCTTTAGCAGGTAAAAACAGATAACTTCAAGTTACTATATATGTGTATATATATATATATATATATACTCATAATTAGACCTATATTATTGTAATATTGATTTTATTAACTTTAGTATTATTGTGTCATATTATTTATTAAGATTACACTTAACAAACACACATAATATATTTACTTGTTGAAAATTACTGGATAATCTTTAAAATGTAATTGATTTATTTAAATTTTAAAGATGATGTAAAAATGTTATTAAATAGTAACACAAGGCAATTCACAAATATTTTATTCTCAACAACTTAAATTTGTATGAAAAATAACTCTTGTACAGTACATTAAATTATAACTAATGTGATGCAAAAGTGAAAGAATATCCTTATTGTAAAACTTTCATTCTCAACAGGTAATTTTTTTTGTCATTCTAATATGTTTTAGAGCTATGTCTTATAACTGCAGGATTTAAAGTATCAAAATTAAGCTTATAAATTTGGTGCAAAAAAAAGAAGAAAAGATTTATTGATAAAAAAAATCACAGATAACATTTGAGCATCTTTTTGGGTTTAAAGAAAACAGGTCAATTTGATTCAAGATTCATGCTTAAGTTGAGACAAAATGAAATTTATGATTAGCAACAAATCATTTTGTTTCTTAAAGATTTTTAACTTAACATGCTTTTATCAAGACTTTATAAATATATTGCTCTTAAATATGCCACTTCTTGGAATTTAAACTTTTGTGTTAGTTAGAAATTCTTCTTAGTCTTGATCTTTCGAGATGCGTAAAACTATAAATGTTAAGAACTTATTAAAACTTTCTAAACTTTGACTTGCTAATGAAATAAATCTGTATTTGACATCTTGTTTCTCAATTGTATGCTTATCTATAGATATAATTTTATGTTTCTAATGAAAAATTCAGGTAGCCAAATTACTATTTTCTATGCAGAACCTATAAGAATGATTCAGTTAGAATATCTCATAAAATATTTACAAATATTGAAAGTATTAGTGCAAATAAATGATAATCCTCTAGGAATAGAATGTTGCTCTTGAACTAGCCATGCTATCTTAATTTATTGCATATCCATCTATTACATTGCAGTACTTTAGTCACAATAAAAATGAATTATTTCTTTTTTGTAATTTTATTACATTATTTTATTGTTTATTAATTATTATTAGTTTATAATTTCATATTAGTGTAAATGGGCACAGAAGTTTTTGCATTTCTTCAAAATAGCTGTTTTATATTATAGGCTATATATTTGTTAGTAGAACTAGCAGTAATGTTTTTGCTATGAAATTTATTTTGATCTTTTATTGAGGCATAAAGTTGATAAATAAGCTATAAAACAATACTCTCTTGCACCAACTCTTATGAACACAATTGAGCAGTAATGAGCTCCTATGCTTGTCAAAGTCTGGGCTGTGATATGACTAAATTAACATATTCAAGTATGTTCATACAATAGGTAGATTGTAATGTATGTAGTACATCTAGTTTCATAAAAACTTGAGGTTGTAGACTGAAATATTTGCCTCAGCTCTACTTTATAGAAAGAAATTTTGGACTACATTGTTTTAGTTTGCGAATAAGTTTTGTTTCTAACAGTCAGATAAACACATTTGATGAACATTGAAACCAGTCATTTGACACTGAACACAGGATTATCATCTTTTTATGTTTATTGATATTTCTAATGTTTTACATGTACATGTAATATATTACTTTATTACATATACATTTCACATGAGTTTATCTGTAAATTTAGAAAATGACTGTTTCAAAAACTAAATTCTTCTGACAAAGTTATAAGTTAAAACACAAAAAATTACATATAGAGACAGCTTTATTCATGTTGTATATGCTTACATGTATCATTCATGCTACACCTTATACAAAACCTCTTGCAAATTCTGTTTGTAACATTTGAGCCTAGAGTGAATTATTATTTTTTTGCAGATTGAGTAAACAGTAATCAGCTAGTAAATTATATATGATAATTTTTTTTTATACATTAAACTTTTCTAATACATTTTACTATGACTCCAGCTAGTATACACGTGCAAGAAAAGTAAAGAACATATAGAAATATGTTATCTTTGTTAACAGAGCCTAAGTTATTAAATACGTGAAGTATGGCAAAAATATAAAAAATAGTTAAGTATATTTAAAATGTTCAGCCTACAGTATTTTAGCAGGCAGGGATTAGCAACTGTACAAAAGTTATTTGGATCTTTTATATCAGGTGCATGAAAGCCAATGATTAAACAATTTCTAACACATGAAGTAGTCTCTGGTACATTTCTGTCACACACTGGTTAAAGAACAGGTTAAGATCCAGAAAACCCTAACCAAAATTCTGTCAATTGCATTTTTAGATGCATGTTGACAAGAGAGTTTCAGTCTTATGACGATAAAAATAATAGAGGTAGTAGTCTTTTGGATGGGTGGAGTTCTATGATCAGGAGGCATATTACTGGTTCAAATGAGCAACAGTCATGTATAGTAGTGTAAATGTCATGTTTTGCAAGCAGAAAACATAGCACTTGTACTAATTATGAGATTTTCTAACAGTGACTGATACTGTGTGGTGTTGCAAGAGTAAAACTTGTAACTGACAACTAGCAACTTAAATATTTTACTAAATGAAGCAACAGTGTGTAATCCTTCTTGATGAGAATGAATTACACCACTAGTGAAAATGTTCCAAGTATCTTGAATTGTAGCTGATTAATTTGTTACATTTCAGAAGGGAAAACGTTTTGAAAATATATTTCTCCAAATTATGTAGCACATTAACACACACTGATGGGTACGACTTTGAAAACAACATTACATTTCAAATCCTAGTGGAGAATCAATATTTATAATTAT